ACCTCCCCCACCCCCTCCCCCCCCCCCCCCCCCCCCCCCTTTTAACTGTTAATTATTTCCAAGTCATTGTGTCCAAATACCCTTGCCGGGCTGATTGCAAAGTGTATTGATTTAGTCTGGGCTCATCCTACACGTTCGCCTTAATTCCTTTTCCTTTTGCTAGACCAGAAAACCCGAAATGAAACTTATTTTCTTCCTCTGAGCCCCTCCCCCCCCCCCCCCCCCCCCACCCTCTGGCATGAGGTGGGGAAGCCGGGGCTCACAGCCCACCCGACCCCTAGGCTTCGGGTCCTTCGTGGACAAGACGGTGCTCCCCTTCGTCAACACGCACCCCGAGAAGCTGCGGAACCCGTGCCCCAACAAGGAGAAGGAGTGCCAGGCCCCGTTCGCCTTTCGGCACGTGCTGAAACTCACCGACAACTCCAACCAGTTCCAGACAGAGGTCGGGAAGCAGCTGATCTCGGGAAACCTGGATGCCCCCGAGGGTGGGCTGGACGCCATGATGCAAGTCGCCGCGTGCCCGGTGAGGCCCCTGCCTGCCCTGATTTCTCCAGACCTGGGGGCCTCTGTCACGACACCCACAGATTCCACTATTAGCTTGCGACCCTGTGCAAATCTTTTGAAGCCTAAGTACAAGGAATTGATCCTGTTAAGGAAGACCCGTGAGCCACGTAACCCTGGCGGTTCCTGCAGTAGAATCACCCCTACTTCCAGTGCCGTTCAAGGAACAGAGGGTGACCTGGCCAGGCTCCCCGACAGTCATGTGGCTTAAGTGTCGGTGCCAGCCGTCCCCTGCCCCCTGCTGACCCCTTGCCACGTGGTCCTGTCCTGCCGCTGTATTGTGATGTGTTGCAACACATCGACCCGTGTTTAGCCACGCAGTCCTGCCACCTTCACAGACCGGACCCCAGTCCTCCAGCCTCTCTGGTCCCTGGGTGCACCATCCTGCATCGCCGACACACATTTTCATTTCTGTGTGATGTCACGGTTCACGATGCACGTGTGCCCTGGCTCTGTCAACCCCTCATCACGGGGTCCGTGGGCTCCTCCCTCTGTGTTTGCAGTGAGATAAATATTTCTAAGTACTTTTTCTTCTTTGGGAGTATCCCCTTAGGAGGTGGTCCCAGGTCCGAGTTGACTGGGCCACAGAGTATGCAAATGTAAACACGCATTCCTGTCCCTTCGGTGTCCCACGCATTCACCTGGGCATCTGGGAGCTGGTCGTCCCACAGGGACTTCTCGGGCCCCCCTGGGCACTGGGCCCTGTCTCTGGTCCTCCTGCCCCCAGAAAACCCAGGAGTGGGGGGCACACAGCCCCGAGGCCAGCACAGCAAGCTCGGCCTTGGCTCCCCCAGTCTGGGGAAGCTGAGGCAGGTCACCCTGCCCTCTCCTCGTCAGGAGGAAATCGGCTGGCGCAACGTCACCAGGCTGCTGGTGTTTGCCACGGATGATGGCTTCCACTTTGCGGGAGACGGGAAGCTGGGCGCCATCCTGACTCCCAACGACGGCCGCTGCCACCTGGAGGACAACATGTACAAAAGCAGCAACGAATTCGTGAGTGCCGTGTCTTGGGGTGGGGGGGTGGGGAGGTAGGCTCACTCCCAGCCCGGGGTCCAGAGGGGTGGGGAGGGGCCCTCGCTCTGGGGGAAGCACTTGAATGGCACCAAGAGGTCAGAATTCTCTGGTCCAGGGCTGCTGTGAAACGATGCTCGGCACCCTGGAATCGTAAAGCCCAGGCACTGCAGAGGACTTTAGAGATGTGACCCTTGGGGTCCTCCATCTGCAGCCTGCAGACTGGAGGTGGGTGTTGGTGGCAGCTCTCAGGGGCCCACCGACTGGGACAGGACAGATGTGACATCTGAGGCTCCGGGGAGCCTCTGCCTGAAATTGCGCACGTCATGAGGTTGTGAAAATAGGTGCCACTGTGCTGGGGGCAGCGTCTGAGATGCCGCCTCCAGGAGAAGTCAGAGGCGTCTCGCCAGCGCCCCACAGTGCGGACACCGCAAAACGCTGCTCACCACTCCTCTCCGCTTTGAGGGTCTGGGAGTGGTTACTTGCCACTGGTTTTCTTTTTTACTGCATTGATGAGGAAGCGCTTCTCAGCTTTTAATATTTTCTTGAGTGTATTTCAATATTGTCAGTTTCCCTCCTAATCCCATTATCTTACCGTGTTTGCGAACATCATTGGGAACGGCCCCATCACAGCAGGAGGCAGGCGGAGCCTCTGCGCCCTGGGCCGTCACTTCTGCCGACAGGAGCAGACAGGCAGCTTGGATGGCTTGTCCCCAGCCTTGGGAGCCATCTGACCGGGGGTCCCCTCTCTAGGACTACCCATCGGTGGGCCAGCTGGCGCACAAACTGGCAGAAAGCAACATCCAGCCCATCTTTGCTGTGACCAAGAGAATGGTGGAAACGTATGAGGTAAGTGGGCTTGAGCAATCTGGCAGGAAAAGGCGTCGCAACTGAATGGGTGACCAGGGTGACCACAGCCTGAGTTCTGCTTCCGTGCTGGGTGTGTGGGCTGTGGCCACGCGGGCGGCCCTGAGTTTCGGGGAGTGAGCGCTGCTGCTGAGGAGCTGAGGCCTCTTTAGGCCGCATGACACTGACAAGTCCTTGCACTTCAGTAATCGTAGTTTTGCCTCAACGAAACCCTTTCGGTCTGCAGGCCCCATTCTTCATGTCAGGGAAAGTTCCTTGTTTTGTGTCCACATATGTTTGCACGTCAACACTGTTCACGCAGTGTAAGGTGTACACAGGAGGGCTCTGGAACCCCCAGCGCACAGCGCAGTGTCGCGAGGAAAACACCCCCATTAACCAGCAGGCGCCCGGCCCCCCAGCAGCTGTGACAGCACCTCCTTCCCGGCTCAGGAGACCTGGGTCTGTCCTGACTTTTCTGAATTGCTGTTCTTACTAAATTTTTCTGTGGCATGGAATTCTCGTGGGGAATTTTCTTTTGTCGTAGAGCGTTTTTCATCCCTCCTCCCTTCTCCCAGTCACTGTGGGGCTGTTTTACTTGCTGTGCTTTCATCTGCCGGGCTCAGTGTGGTGGCCTCTAGCTGCGATGGCCTGGGAGCGCCTCCTGGCCCCTCTCCTTCCCTAAGTCCCGGCCCCCTCCCTGCGGAGGCCTGTGGCCTGCTGTGCCTGTGTGGGGCGTTTGCCAGTGGGGCCAGCCGCACCTGCCATCAGCATTCCCAGACCCCAGACTGGGGACAGGTTGCAGGGGATGCCAAGGGAGGAGGGGCGGGTGTCCGGGAGACTCCCCGGAGGCTGGCAGTGGGAGTTGGCCAAGCCACAAGGACAGCAAGGCTGGTGGCCGGGTGCCGCTGAGACCACCCGCCCACGTGAGCTGCCCGAGCGCTGGCAAGTCAGGGCCTCGCAGCTGCCGTGTCCCTGACCGTGTTACGGGACGTAACAGCCTCCTCCTCGCCAGGTGGTAGCAGGTCCCAGTGATTTGCTATTAGGTGCCGGAGTCGTGTCCCAGAAGGCAGCGTGGTGATGGGGTAGAAGCTGGAGATGGGAGACTCGGACCCCAGGCCCGGGGCTCCTAGGGAGGGGGGGTCAAGGAGGCCCGAGGCTGTATGGGCAGCTTACGCCGGACCCTCCTCAGTATGTGTTTCTGCACCGAATGGAGAGCAGGTGGCCAGGGGGGCTCTCCGAGCCCTGGCGGGGTCCTGAGGCTGAGGAGAGGAGACGGTGGCAGAGGCCGGAGATGGGGTGGCCAGGCCACTATGTGTCCTTATGAGCTTTCTGGAGGAGACTGGGCTCCATTCTGGGGCGTCACAGCGGGGCTGTGTGGCAGGGACGTGACCCACCCTTGGTTCTGCAAGATGAAGTGCTGGTGCAATTTCCCGTGAAAGATGGGCTAAGCTAAGGGTGGCAGGGGACACAGATGTTCCCTGGAGGCTGCCCTAGGCTTGTCTGCATGACCTCGGGCTCCGGCCTGCCGGAGGTGCCGCTGGACCAGCCGGCCCTGCCTGCCAGAGCTAATTGTCACAGTGTTGTTTAACACAGCCGTTACGGAAGTTAAATTATGTCAACTCACTCGCTCAGAACACATCGCTTCCTGATTTTATGCCACATTTCACGACTACCTGTGCCCTTGGGTTGTTTGTGCCTATCACATCTGCATGATGGGGTGGCATCTTTTTTTTTTAATAGACTTATTTATTTATTTATTTATTTTATTTGGCTGTGTCAGATCTTGTGGCACGTGGGATCTTTCGTTGCAGCGTGGGCTCTCTAGTTGTGGTGCGCGGGCTTAGTTGCCCCGTGGCGTGTGGGATCTTAGTTCCCCGACCAGGGAGTGAACCCGTGTGCCTTGCACTGGAAGGCGGATTCTTAACCACTGGGCCACCGGGGAAGTCCCTGGGGTGGCATCTCACCGTGGCGGGGCGCACCTTCCCAGCTCTGCCTTCAGTGCTGGGAAATCAACCAGGGTGGAGTATTTCCACTGAGGAAATCAGCAAACGCTGCAATTCAGGGTGTTCTTCCTGAAAGCCAGTGGTTAAACATTTGCCCGCACAACACTGGACCACGTGCTGTCTTAACTAAATACAGTAAGAAATCGGGGGCAGGGTTGTCTGAGCCATCTCACAAGCAGGAAGGAAACCCTCTGGGGTGTTATTACAAAACTGGGTGGATGCTGAGGTGTCCTGGTACCAGGGTTCTGGCCACGCCCACCTGTCTTCTTCCCGGACAGAAGCTCACGGAGATCATCCCCAAGTCTGCAGTCGGGGAGCTGTCAGACGATTCCAGCAACGTAGTCCAGCTTATTAAGAATGCCTACAACGTAAGTGCCCCCTGGGTAGTCAGCCAAGACGCCGCCCCGCTGCAGGCCAGCAGGAGGATGGTCTGGAGAGGAGAGCCCCTGCGTTCTGTGGGCCATCCTCGGGCACTTCCCCAGGGCAGCTGTCCTCCTCGTTGATGGTGTGGTAGGTGCCACCCCAGGCCCTCCGTGCCTCCCCTGGGACACAGGCATCAGGCCCTCTTCCAGCCAAAGGGTCTGCTGACTTCACGAGCGCAGCTCGCTGGGAGCACCCAGTAAGCACTGATGACACTGCACTGAGTCAGAGCCCCACTGAGGCAGCTCTGTTTGCTGCTCATACCCTCCTGGAGCCCTAGCCACCCCCACCCCGAGCAGGCCCTCCCAAACTCCAGATGCTGCCCATGGGGGGGGCTCTGTCTTTGCACCGACGATGCCACCTTCAGTGAGTGGCTCATTCACCTCTCTGTCTCTATCTCTGTTTCTCTGTCTCTCTTCCTGTCTGACGGTCTGTCTCGCTCTCTCTCATTCACTTAGACAGTTTTTCCAGCTCCCACCCTGTGCCAGGCACTGGGGTTTCAGTGGTGGGTGGACGGTCAAGCTCCCGTTCTCGCAGGGCTATGAACTGTCTCCACGTCTGTCCCTTCCACTGGCCTGTCTCGGGGGGTGTGGCATGGGTAACCCTGCCACCAGCAGCATGGGGTGCAGGACCCGGCACCCGTGGAGCTCTCAGTGGACACACGGGTGGAGGGAGGGGGATGAGAGGCGTGCCAGCCATCGGCTGGGAAGGGGCGGGAAGGGCTGGGGACAGCGGGATGAGCCTAATCACGATGCTCTTTGCCCACAGAAACTGTCCTCCAGAGTCTTTCTGGATCACAACACCCTCCCTGACACCCTGAAAGTCACCTACGACTCCTTCTGCAGTAATGGGGTATCGAAGGTGGACCAGCCCAGAGGGGACTGTGACGGCGTCCAGATCAACGTGCCGGTGAGGCTCCCTCCCGGCCTCTGGAAGGGGCTCCCCCTGGGACAGCGAGGGAGGGTGCACCCCGGCACACGGCTTCACAGGGACCAGCAAGAGGCGGGGTCCAGTCCACCGCGGGTCCAGTTCCTTACCTTGAAAATCCACACACACTGTTCGCGGCCTGGTGTACACCGGCCGCCGCGAGGACGGCAGCGCCCCCTGGGGGCAGATGCTGGGTACAGCGCCACCCACCTAAGAAGGGCGTTCCTTCTACATGGGGCATCTGCTTTGGTTTGATTTTCTTGATTTTTGTGTTTTTGTTTTTTGACAAACACATTAAAGCAGGGGCCACACAAATGATTATAAACAGGCACTGAGTTATTTCCCTGATATTTTTAATTTGTCATGACCAGAACAATTAAACTTTTCCTTTCTCCAGCTGTGAATTAATATTCAGCAAATACTTGCTTTTATTTCTAAACGACATCGGAATTCTTTCAACTATGTGACTTACTAAATGTGTGTGACTTTTTAGTGAAATGCATCCCCCTCATACTGGGTGATCCGTACAAGAATTTATTCAGTCTTGTGACTGATGGATTACTCTTCCCTGATGTTTCTGCTCTGTCTTCACGTACGGGCTGGAGATTCACTTACGCTGATTTGCAGTGAGGCTTGCCGTGGCCGAGCTGGTGCCCTCTGAAGCTCAGTGCTGGCTGAGCACCAGTGCTGTGTGAGTGGCAGGGACTTTGCCCTGCCTGCTCGGTTCCCCTTGGGCATTCGGGGTCAGAATACAGCCCCACATGCAAAACCTAGGACTTCCTGTGCGATTTTGGCATCTTAGCCTCCAGGCTTCAGGACAAAATACATGGAGAAAATATACATCATTTACAGAGTCACTCTAAAATTCTTTTAAAGGGATGTGAGATTAAAAGTATTCTAGGGCTTCCCTGGTGGCGCAGTGCTTGAGAGTCCGCCTGCCGATGCAGGAGACGCGGGGTCGTGCCCCGTTTCGGGAAGATCCCACATGCCGCGGAGCGGCTGGGCCCGTGAGCCATGGCCACTGAGCCTGCGCGTCCGGAGCCTGTGCTCCGCAAATGGGAGAGGCCACGACAGTGAGAGGCCCGCATAACGCAAGAAAAAAAAAAAAAAAATTATCCGCTTACCAAAATCCTTGATTTTCAGTACTTCAAAATAAAACTCATTTTAAGATATCAAAGCATTATTCACCTAAAGACACAGAGTAGTCCTTTTCCTAGTAACTTTTCCTAGTAACTATGTTAAATCTATAAGAATCATTTGTGGGCTTCCCTGGTGGCGCAGTGGTTACAGTGAGAGGCCCGCGTACCGCAAAAAAAAAAAAAAAAAGTATTCTAAAGACATCCCTGCCCAAGTCCAGGCCACCAGAGGATGGTGGGTGGGGGAGCTGCGGAAGGACTGGGGGGCATGTTCCAGCATCTCTGACTCTGAGTTTCCAACTCTCATCCTCTCTTCCCTCATCTCCCCTCCCAAGTCCTGGAGCCACCTGGAGTGTCCATCTCCTTCCCTCCCCCCACCGACATGCACTCCCCCGGGGGCCCAGCAGAGGCGGTCCCCTCCATACTTGGGAGCCCAGGACGCTGACCCTCACCCTGCTAGGCCGTGCCCTTGTCCATGCTGCCCAGGGAGGAGGTGGGAGCAGGGTTGTGTGCCCGGGGTCCAATGTTCACCTGAGCCCTGCTTTCCCACTACAGATCACCTTCCAGGTGAAGGTCACAGCCACAGAGTGCATCCAGGAGCAGTCATTCGTCATCCGTGCGCTGGGCTTCACGGACACGGTGACTGTGCGGGTCCTCCCCCAGTGCAAGTGCCGGTGCCGGGACGCGAGCCGGGACCACAGCCTCTGCGGCGGCAGGGGCTCCATGGAGTGCGGAGTCTGCAGGTGAGGCCGCGGCCCCGCCCCCCGCGCAGGCGCGCCGCGTCAGACCCGGCGCGAGAGGGCGGGCCCTGACCCCACATCCCCCATGCAGGTGCGACGCCGGCTACATGGGGAAGAACTGCGAGTGCCAGACGCAGGGCCGGAGCAGCCAGGAGCTGGAGGGAAGCTGCCGGAAGGACAACAGCTCCATCATCTGCTCGGGGCTGGGGGACTGCATCTGCGGGCAGTGCGTGTGCCACACGAGCGATGTGCCCAGCAAGAAGATCTACGGCCAGTTCTGCGAGTGTGACAACGTCAACTGCGAGCGCTACGACGGCCAAGTCTGCGGGGGCGAGAGTGAGCGCGGGGGACACACCAACCGGCGGAGCCTCAGCCGCCCCTGGGGCGGGGGCGGCTCGGGCTGGGGCTCGGGCGGGGCTGAGTCTGCGGGGGCCCCTGTCTTCCAGAGCGAGGGCTCTGCTTCTGCGGCACCTGCAGGTGCCAGAACGGCCACGAGGGCTCGGCGTGCCAATGCCTCAAGTCTACGAAGGGCTGCCTCAACCTGGATGGCGTCGAGTGCAGCGGCCGCGGCCGGTGCCGCTGCAACGTGTGCCAGTGCGACCCCGGCTACCAGCCGCCCCTGTGCCTCGAGTGCCCGGGCTGCCCCGCGCCCTGCGCCCGCTACGCGTGAGTATCCCGCCACCCCGCCCGCCTCGCGCCTCTGCGGCCCGGGAGAACTGCCGTCCAGCCGGACCCGGGGCGCAGGGTGCTGAGGACGGCCCCGCAGCTCCGGGTGGCCCGGGCCCCGCGCCCCCGCCCCTCCTAACCGCGGTCACGCCGCGCCTCGCCCGCAGCAACTGCGCCGAGTGTCTGAAGTTCGACCAGGGCCCCTTCGCCAAGAACTGCAGCGCAGCGTGCGGGGAGACGAAGCTGCTGCCCAAGCCACTGCCCGGCCGCACGTGCAAGGAGCGCGACTCCGAGGGCTGCTGGATGACCTACACCCTGTTGCAGCGCGAAGGGCGGGACAGATACGACGTGCACGTGAACGACACGCGCGGTGAGCCCAGGCGGGTGGGGTCAGGACCGGGTCCCCGCGCCGCTCAGCCTGCCCGCCGTGCGCCCTGCCCTGGGGCGGCCGGCTGTCCCGCAGGGGCGCTGCCCGGAGCGCTGGCGCTGAGCGCGGCCTGGAGCGCAAGCCCCGAGAGCCAGCCTGGGGGACCATGGGGGCCGCCGGACCCACATCCGGCCCTGGCCCTGGAGGGGCCCGCGGAGCTGGAGCCTGCTTCCCCAGGTGCCGCTACCCGCCCGCCGCCCACCGCCCGCCGCCCGGCTCACCAGGGACCCAGAGGCTGACTCTGTCTTCATAGGTTCCCGGGACACAGGGTGGGGACACATGAACCGGTTCCCAGGGGCAAAGACGCCGGCGGGGCGTGTCTCAGAGGTCAGAAGGTCTCTCTGAGGAGGACGCTTGCAGCTGAGACCAGGGGATGAGAGGGCCAGAGGTGCTGGGCTAGGCTCTTACTGGGCCCCTGTGAGTCGGGGGGCGGGGGCGGGGTGGGAGGGGTTGGACTTATGTCTCTTCCCAGACACACCGGAGGGCCAGCCGGCTTTCAGAGGAGTACGCTGTGCTCTCACAGGCCGGGCGCAGACCTGGGAAGGGCCACTGCCCAGTCCGGCACTGAGCAGGGCTGGGTTGGGGTCCTGGGGCCGGCGTGGACAGAGCCTGCCCTTGGATGGAACTGTGGGCGGGATCAGGAGGGAGCGCAACAAGTGGGGACGGAGGGTAGGTCAGTGTCGAGGAGGAGGTAGGTTGAGTGAACAATGGCAAAGCGTGTGTGGGACGCGGGGACTTAGAGTAACACACCCACGAGGGGATGGGCTTGAGGGTTACAGCAGCAGCACTCGGAGCTGTGTGGACACACCAGCTCTCGGTACCCCCGCCCCTTTACTGCTCAGAGAGGCTGCGGGGGTGGGGCACAGGCCGCGAGGCCAGCCTCTCAGGTGAGCACAGCAGACGTGGGACAGCAGCCCACCCCGGGGTCCTTGTAGGACTGAGACCTGCTCCCAGCTCCCCTCCCCACGACAGGACCCCCAGGAAGGCAGGTAGGCCCAAGCCCTTTGTCTGTTACCAGGGCGGCAGAGCCCAGCCTGCTGGTGCAGACAGCTCTCCCAGGCGTTTTAACAGGCACGTGTGGGGTCAGGTCTGGCTTTGTGCGCGCTGGCTAAGTTGTTCCATTTCTGTGAAGAAGGGAGGCTCCCTGGAGAGGCCAGGATGGTTGCGGGGGGTGCCCGCAAACCCCAGTGCCTACGAGCTGGGCAGACGGGCTCACGCTGAACATCGTGCCTTGGTCAGGCACCGCGCGGGCGTGCTGCAGTCCAGAGCCTCCCCTCCCCCAAGGTCAGGGGGAGGTTGGGTGCAGCCCCTCGGGCACTGGGACCCCACCCCCATCATTCCCAAGGCTGCTGCCATTGGTTCCCCTGGGAATGCCTTTACAAGGAGAGTGCCCACCCCTAAACTCTGATCCAACGTGGGTTAGGCTGGGTTCCAGTGATTGGGTCATTGGCTGTCCAGGTGGGAGGCCAGTGTCTGGCCCTGGTTACTTACTGGCCACCTCGGCCCCCTTTCTTTCTCCATGAACAAAGGGCCTCTCAATTTCATTTGGAACCACAGGGCCTGGCCTTGTGCCCAGCTCTGCACCGTCCCTGGCTGGGGGCCGGGGCCAGGGCCGGTTTGCTCACTACCTGTCGCTGAGAGCCAGCAGCGGGGCCCCGACACCGTGCAGGGACGCGGCGGGCCTGACGCCCCGGTGTGTGTGCCTCCTTGCCTCAGAGTGCGTGAAGGGCCCCAACATCGCCGCCATCGTGGGGAGCACCGTGGCAGGAGTCGTGCTCGTCGGCATCCTCCTGCTGGGCATCTGGAAGGTCCTGACCCACCTGAGTGACCTCAGGGAGTACAAGCGCTTCGAGAAAGAGAAGCTAAAGTCCCAGTGGAATAACGTGAGTGGCCCCGGGGCCCCCCGCCGAGGCACGCCTCCCACCCTCTGCGCCGAGGGCACGCCCACGGGAGCGGGAGCCTGCCTCACCCCACCCTCGCAGCTCGTCCCCGGAGCCCAGCGCCTTCCTCCCTGCGCTGACAAGTCACGCTTGCTTTTCTCACCAGGATAACCCCCTTTTCAAGAGCGCCACCACGACAGTCATGAACCCGAAGTTTGCTGAGAGTTAGGGCTGCTTGGTGAAGACAGGGCCTCCTGCACCGCCCAGGTGGGAGCATCCCACGCCACGTCCCCCCAGCAGGCCGACCGTGACCCCGTCGCCCGGTGGACTTGGCTGACGACACTTGGCAACTTCACCACTAACTGAAAATGCACCGCTTTTCCTGCCCCCAGAATGACAGATGCGGCCAGATAATTCTAGGCACTCATCAGGAGGGCCAGCCTCCCCCTTCTCATGTGAGCGGCTTCTGATAGCAACTTGCAGAAGGGGTTGCTCGCGTCCCGGAAGGTTAGACACGTGTTGTCCTTTGTAAAAACTAGCACAACAGTCTGACGAAAGGTGGTACAGATTTATTTATACGTGAACTTCTCAGGGTGTAAAATTACATCCCATTGATCATGCTGCCCCCAATCGCGTGTACAGAAAAAATTAATAACCCTTCCGCAGGGGCTTCCCTGGGAGCCGGGCTCTGTGCCCCACCGCCACTGCTCTTCACACGCTCCAAGGGTCCGTGTAGACTTTGGGCCGTGGCTCAGGGTTCTCTTTTTCTCCTTCCTCACCTGTTGGCCATGCAAGCCCCGCTGTGTCCCTGTCCCGGCCCCACCTCCTAGGCAGCTTTCGGAAGACAGGGGACGGCCCCAGCAAAGGGGGTCCCCCTGCAGAGCTTGAACAGGGCCGAGGCAAGATGGGAAGGCGGGCGTCTGTCACGCTCTTGGCTGTCTATCCCCGCTCTTGGGTAATGAGTGGAAGAGAATTTAAATAAGTGTGTTTCTCACGCGCTGTTTCCTGGGGTGACCTGGAGGTCAAGGTGATCCAGTGTGATGGTGGTAGGTGGCAGGTCCCCGCGTGATCACCCAGCCGTGTGCGTGTCTGCAGGCTCCGTGTGGGTCAGGGTCTGGGTGTGGCCCGTGTGGGCCTGTCAGGGCGGGGCAGTCCTGGGCCCCCAAGGAAAGGGCTCTATTCCGGTACGTTAACATGTTCTGCAGCCCTGGCGATGCTGGCTCCTTCCTCATGTTACACAGACCTGAGAGAAGAGACAGATGTGAGTACGGGGTGCGCATTTGTGAGCATTTCTTTATTCACGTGCGTAGACGTCATTTCAGACGATATCGTCCCTTATCTTTTTCCGTAAAATGTATAATTTTTTATGAAAACCCCAGCATAACTCTTCATTACAAAAACCTCAGCTCAGGGCCTTCCCTGGCGGTTCGGTGGTTAAGCGTCTGCACTTGGCACTTACAGAGCACTGCTACACCCGTCTCTGTGCAGAGCACAGTGGGCAAAAGCAGAGACCCTCACTGCCCTCCTGGAGGTACACAGAGGGTAGCCTCACAGCCAGTGTAAAATGATAAACGATGCCCACTGAGACGGAAAAGCACGTGGTCCAGGATTGAGAGCGAGGTTTAAAAAAATAAAAGTGACCATCTCACCCTCTACACTCCCGCAGCTGGTAACTTTCACTGCTGCTTGTTCCCCTGCAGGGGGGAAGCTCTGCCTTCCCTGCTCGAGCCCACTCACTGCTGCTTGGATGTCAGCACCCTGTCCTGTCTCGTCCTGTGTCGCTTCATCCCACCTAAGGCCTCTTACGCCTCTCCATCCACGCACCAAGCGAGGAGTGTGGCTAAGGCCCACGGGCGCTCCCGCCTGTTGCCCATCACTCTAGCGCCCCTGGCATCCCCCCTTCCTGCCCTGTCCATAAACAAGCGGGTTTAAAACAGAATAACCAAAGGTTAACCTTCTACCACCTTAGTGGTGCTGCATCCTTCCACACCTAGGCAAAGAATCAGGCTCTATTTTTCCAAAATTTTAAAATCCAATTGAACAAAATGGAATCACTTGCAGACAACGTTGGGCTGCAGGTCAACCAGTCTCCCCACCTGGTCAATGTGGATGGCTGTGCATGTTCCTAGCCTTGACCCTTCCCTCCATGACCCCCAGAAGGTGAGCCCCTCCTCACACGTGGTCTGCAAGCTGCAGGTCCCCACTCCGGTCCCAAGCCCTTGCAGACACCCGCCCCCC